TTCAGCGTAAAAATGAATATGTATTTTATTTGTTCGTGATGACTCTCAGCTAATCACTAAGGTCACTTTTAGTTGACCCACGTGGTGAATATCATTCACTGAGATATAGAGATTTTATATTTTTTCCTGAAAGATGAGTATCGGATCTTTGAGAAAGAATATATAAAATATCGAACATTATCTAATATCTATACTATTAAAAGTAAATGCACCCTTCAAAAATCGAGTAATGGAAGTTATCTGCATTCTCACTAATGGCATTTTGGTAATTTATTTTTTAGGCTTACATTTATTTATATATATATATATATATATATATATATATATATATATTACTTTGTTACTAATCATATCAAATATTACATATATCTGAATTATTCTCTTTCTTCCCATTAATTACTCTAACTATATTTCATTATATATTTCATACATTTATATTGTGTTAACACATTATATTACACGATTTAAATCTATAAATTTCCAACATTATTATNTATATATATATATATATATATATATATATTACTTTGTTACTAATCATATCAAATATTACATATATCTGAATTATTCTCTTTCTTCCCATTAATTACTCTAACTATATTTCATTATATATTTCATACATTTATATTGTGTTAACACATTATATTACACGATTTAAATCTATAAATTTCCAACATTATTATTTTTTATTGATATTTTTTGGTATATGCATCATATATCGATGATACGATGTTATATTTCATATATTAATATTTTTATATAGTTGTACTACACCTTATATTTCAAAGACTATACTTTATAAAGTCATATTACTCTAAGCATAATATGATGATATATTTCATATATTAAGATTTTCATATAGTTGTACTACACCTTATTTTCAAAGACAATATGATATAAACTCATACTACACTGACCTACACTTTGTAGCCAGTGTAGTTGATTGTAGACCTTATATTACACGATTTCAATATATAGATTTCCAACATTATAATTTTTTGGTTGACATTTTTTGGTACATGCATCATATATTGATGATATGCTGCTATATTTCATATATTAATATTTTCATATAGTTGTATTACACTAATTTATATTTCAAAGACTATACTTTATAAACTCATATGATTCTAACCATGATATTATGCTATATTTCATATATCTACTCTATTAAAATAAAATCATTCTTTTTATCTACTGATACAAGTTGCCATTTAAATTTGGACTCTTTCTAGAGTGTTACAAATAATATAAGTCATATAGTTAATTGAACCGCATTACTTAAATTAAACTGATGGTTCTTTATGGAATATAGTCTTGGGCTTACTTTTGTTTTTAGAACAAATTATATGGTTTGGCTTTTGGGCTTAGTATTAACGAAAAACTCCAAAAAACATTAAATAAACTTTCCACCTTAATGAATCAAAAAATCAGTTATTATTTTCAAGCCCAAAATGTATTAATATTTTTGAACAAAAAAATAGTCTATTATTAATCATTTATTTAAATCATGTACTTTAAAATATGTTAATGTGTTTTTTATTTTAAATAACAATTACTTTGTTTTGATGAATTTCAACGGTAACTTTTAAATAATTTATTGTTTTATTTCTCTTAAATAATTTACTGATTTAAAAAAATATAAAGCAAAACCAAAAACCAAATCTAAAAACTAAAATCCAAAACCAAAAACAGGTTATATTTTTTTGCTTTTATTTATTTACAAAATAAACTATTTCAAATTTCTTTAAAAAAAGTTTTGTCATCTTTTCAGTTTTAAATTAGATGTTCGATTATTTGGGATTTGTTTGTTAGTAATATCAGTTCAAACTAACTCAACGAGTCTAAAAATTAAATACCCAAACAAAAAGCTGAAAATCAAAAATAGAAACTTAAAAACTAAAAACCAAAAACCAAAATCTAAAACAAAATCTAAATATAAAAAATTGAAACTAAAAACTAATGAATAACAATCTTCACCATAAATTTTGGTGAAATAATTTTATCCCAAAATATTCTTTAAATTAAGACAAAACTTAATTACATAAATTCTTAATCATAAAAAATTTCCACGCTTGAAAATCGCGGGTCAAAATCTAGTTACCACTTAAAATTTGAGTGTGCGTGAGTAGTAAGATGGTCTGGTTTATCCATAAGAGGAGCACCAGTAGAAAAAACGTGACACTAAAACAAACAGAGCCCAGACAAAAAAAAGTTTAAAAAAGCAAAACAAAAAGTAAGAAATGCTTGCAGAATGATAATTATAACATGACTGTGAAGTCCACTACCAACAATTGCAACCAAAATGGAATATAAAATGGGTATAACTTTGGCATATCTATATACTTAAAATGATTAATATTTTATGTTCTTGACTTCTTGACCTGTTAACATGGAGACGTTTATGGATATTGTGGTTGATTCCATTGTCATTTGAAAGCTAAAATGGCGGCCGAGTCAGATTCCTCTCAGGCCTTCCTCCAAGATATTCGTGCATTGTTTATTACTCATTCTCAATAGACTTTATTTTATTTATGCATATTTTGTAACAGCCATCATACTTAAAATAAAATAAAAACTAAAATTCCATTGATTTAGTTCTTAAAAACATGATTACACGAGAGATTACAAGTAAAAATATTTGAATAAAATTTGGTCCAACCATAAGCTATCTAGCTCGGAATCCGCAAGACTACACAGTCAATTAAGTTGTGGGCGCAAATTCGAGTCTGACTTCTTCCTCATCATCAAACCTAGGTTATTCCGGATGTGTAGCACGAGACATCTACTTTCTCCTATGCATAGTAAAAACCGTGTGTTGAAGCTCGCAATGGAAGCATCACAGAACCTAGAAACCATACCTTAGGAAACGGAGGCCATTAGACTTTTACTAAGAACATTGTTTTTTAGTTAGTGTTATGAATCTGGTTTGCCTAGAGTTTCTTTAGTTGCAGAAATAAATCTTCTGGTTTGCCTAGAGTTTCTTTGGTTGCAGAAATAAATCTGTATTCAGATATATGTATAGATTTGTGTTACAACAAAAAAAAATTCTTTATGTATATACATTATCAAGTAACTTGTTAGACCAAAATAAACTTTTCTCGATGATGTACATATAAATGATTTTTGCGATCAGTTATTTGTTCATTAAAAAATATGGATGTACTTTCGAAATTGTCGACAGAACGTAGTATTTCTTATTTCATGACAGCCGGATATCCATGAATTCCAACATATGGAATAAGTTAAGAGTTAACTCCTTTAATAGAAAATTTATTTATTTATTAGCTAGCTAGTGATTGTCTATTCTGTCGTGACCATATCCCTTATATATTAAAAGAGAAGCATTTTGCATTAAATGTTTTCACACCACCTTCTCACAAGTTATTATCTTATTACCTTATTTACAGCCTTCTCACAATTTATTACCTTATTTAAAACACACGAGATACTTTAAAACTACAAAGTTCAATACCGTGAGACAAGTTCGGAGACAAGTGAATTGGCTTGAGGGTCGATGTCAAAGTTCTGGAACGTCGTTATTTGGGAGGTGGGACGTATCTAAGATGACGGATGTGAAGGGCAACGTACCGGAGACCATGAACGCGATCTTGGTTTGGACATGGCTCGTGTGTAGCGTGAAGAGATTAAACTAAACCTTGCTAAGTTTGAGGTAGTTAGTGTACTGAGGGTAGATCTAAATGGTGAAATGTGTTGTCTTCAAGAGAGCCCAAGGCCGTATAGTAGTGGTGCTCGAGATGGGTTTTTATCTTCACTACGTAGGTTGGTGAGATCAGGTTCTGTAGTTTTGGACTTTTAGGCACAAGTTTTTAACGTCGATATTTGTATCCATAGGCAAGGACGTGGACATGAGATATTGAACAAATTGTCGACATATATATGTGAAAAGTTTAAGGCTCTTGAGATTGGACATTTCGTTATACAAGTCGAGAATTTGCTTCTCGAAATGAGCCTTTTGTGAACCCATCTCAAGATTAGAAGGAGATTTGGGATTGTCTCAAAGCTCTCTTAATGGTGTTCACAGTAATATACTTTGATCTTACGTGTGTCCATGTCGTGTGGATGACAAAAAAAAACAGATATATGAGACAAAAGTTATACGTATGAAAAAACGTATAGATATATAATTAGACGATATTAAAACCCGAAACAACCAATCCAAAACAAACTAATGTGCAAATAAAACAGATATAATATCTTCTTATCTTTAAAAATACAACAAATTTAATCATCTCATCCTGCGCAAGGCGCGGGTCTAATCCTAGTATATATATATAGTGAGGTCCGAGTCATTAACTATTTTGCCAAAGCAGACTAATTTTACATTAAAGTCATGTTTAACTTGGTAGAAGTTCTTAAAATTCGAAGTTTTTACATATACATCTATATTCAGAACAAGCATCGATAATACATATAATTTTCTTATACAAAATATGAATATATAATCTAGAAGTGTAGAGTTGTGTACTCAAACCTGGGTTTGGGTAACCCAATACAGTTTCTAGCCACCAATGTAATTTGATTGACTTCCTCTGGACATCACAACAACCTGATCACAATCCTCAACTAGTTAGTAGTTACGACTCTCATAGGCAAACAGTATATTCCATACAAACTTCAATGGAAAAGGCATACAGAACTTTAATTCACCAAGACCGGTCTTAAAATTTAAGAGGTTATAGATATTTTGAGATAGATTGTACCAAATTCTTTTATATAATTTAGAAACCTTAAGATGTCTGAATATTACTTTTTCAAAATGTAAAGGTTAAGACGAATGTTTTATCATGCTTTGTCCATGATCGGTTCTAATAGATGTTGTACCGTATATTGATCTACCGTCTACGTTTTTGTAGAGAAATACGACGTATTACATGGAAAACAAAGCAAATATTATTAGTAAAAATGGACCCCACTAGTTTTTATCTATAAATAACGCCCCCAACCTCTCCCCCTAAAATGCAACAACACTCATCTTTCCAAATAAACAAGGAAAAACGTAAGGTTCTTTTTATTTTCTAAATCTTTAAGAAAAAGATGTCGCTAGCTATCGCAGATGTATACACGGTGAGGAAGTTTCACAGAGAGAGTATGAAGAAGCCTACCAAACCTGCGGTGGTTACCGGCGAGGGAGATGAAAAGATAGCCGGAGGAGGGCTTCGGGAGGTCATGAAAACGCCGGTGAAACAGAGTGGGTCTAGAAGATTCGGACGGTGGTTTGTTGGAAAGCCAGGAGTGAAGAAAAGTTCTGCTAAAGTTTCTGATCCCATGGCGATTGAGTGATAAAGAAGAAGAAGAAAACGTTCTCTTATTTTCTTTTACTTTTTTTTTTGTGTCTTTTTAAGTTTCTTCTCTTTCATTTTACCGTGTGATTGTAATTTTATAAATAGTTGGTCAAAGTTGTAAATTATGAAGTTAAAATATGAGCAAAAAAACATATATGTAGAGTGGGGCTTTTGGAAAAACTTTACTGAATTTCCCTTAATACAATAGCTATTTAATGAATTTTATACCAAACCAAACTAAACATGTGTTGCCAAACCATGTCATTTTCCTATTCCTTCAGCAATATTAGGCACTGAAAACTATACAAATCAGAAAATATATGTAACGAATGTTAGAAATATATTTAGTATTTTCATCAGCTACACTTATATTTTTTCTTTCCTTTAAATTGGAATTTAAAATAAACCACTCATATCTGATATCAGAAGAGATCATGTAAGATATTTGTATTACTGGCTAACCACTAGAGTTTAAAAGTTAATAAACACACTTATCCAAATACAGTCTCGGTGTTCCGCAGTATATATTTAAAATTACTATTTTGCAGTTCTCAATTTTCAATATATGTTAGGACAAATCACACATATAATAGTTTAATAGACTCGAAAATATATTTAAAAAAATGAGCCAAACACTTTTAAAAGGTAAAGTAGCGGGTAAGATAAAAGAAAGAAAATGAAAAATGAATAAAGAATTTTAGTGGATGTTCAAAATCAAAAGTATGAATAGGGAAAAAAAACTGAAAGTATATGATGGAGGTTGGGAGGAGGACTTTTAGCAGCTGTGATTGGTCACAACTCACAGTGCTATGGCTCTAAAAATACAAACTGCTAAAACAGTAATAAGCTCTAGATTGGTCACAGACTCACAGCATTTGCAGCTGTTTTTTAGTTGTTCATGAATTTTCTTTTCTTCTTTCTGTTGCAGTAGTTTATGAGGTTTTAAAATATATTTGAAAGTTGAAACCACTCATAAATAAACAAAATAAAATACTCTCTGAACTTTAAATACACAAACAAAAAAAAGCAAACAATATTAAAAGGTATAATAAAAAGTAAACGACAACAATATTACCTTAAATATTCTCTTGTAGCAAGTTGATATATTTTATACAAAAAAAAATCGGGGTAAAGTTGCATTTCCTCGAACTTTTACAGATTTTAATAATGATGAAATTCTTTAAAAAAAAATTGGTAAAGATGAAATTCTAAATTCTCACAAACTACTCCCAAATGTACGGACCTTAATCTATATGCTTGAAAAGATGAAATGCAAAGAACATCATTACATGGTTCAGTTTGAATCTTTATGTCTCGAGGAACTTAATATAGAACTCACTATCTATTCTTGCTTAGAAATTGAGCAAGCCAAAATCTTTTTATATGGTCTCTCTCTCTTGATACAACAGTCTGATTCACTCTTTCTCAACTTCTCTGTTTCGAATATAACCTTAATTAAAACGAATTACAAATAACAGAACAAAGCAACTAGACCAACTTCCCTTTTAGATTGGACTCGTACACGAGAGGTGAGACTAAGTGGCCTGCTTGTCACAAAGGTTTGGTTATTTTCTCACTGAAGAGTTGAAGTCTCTGATCTGAAATTGATACGTCCTGCAATGTTTTCGATGTCTGCTGCATGTTTCTGTCGATGTTGACAAGGAGAAAGCAAACACTCACGTTGATCAAGAGAGATATGGCACTATCAAAACAACTCACGTTGATAATTTGCTTTCTCTATTCTGCCATAAGAGCTCGCAGCCTCTTTAGGGTAACATGACCTTGTCCTTAAACTAGCTATCTTCTCAGTGCATCTTAATACTCCCTCAAGCCGTTGTACTCATAGTCATCTTTTATATATGATTCGAAGGTTTTGATAAATTAACATTCCCATGGTTGCTGGTTGATCGATCAGGTACATGGTGCAGCTTCTGAATCTAATTATTGTCCATCAGCTTGCAGTGCCTGACTCCATTTGTGGCTTATTTTACCGTGTATGGATACAGTGGCCTGTTTATGGAAGTCTCTTCTTGAGCCTCGTCTTTTGAATACTTTCGAAGTTGCTGCCCACATTATCTTCACTCAAGGAAGTTTCAATCTACTTTCATATTGACTATGTGAGCTTGTATCCGAAGTAAGACACTTCATAATTACATCCTAACGTTTACAGTTCCAACTTCCAACAACAAACATAGACATGAGCCGAACAAACCCATTTGGAAGTTCAACACTTCTCATATTCAGCCAACGTCGGTTTGAATTTTTTTGTTTGTTTCCGAGGTCACTAAAAGTAGACTAGTTGTAACAACCTCAGCTTCAAAAGAAATAGTAACATTTGGATTGTCCTTAATCCTTATGGTAGTGGAACACTAGCTACTATAATGTTCCATATCGAGATTCCAGCTACATGGTGGAGTTTCCTGATGTGGAAAGGAATAAAACCTCTATTAGAGAGTGCAATTTGGTTGCGCATCCTCGTTCTTCACATCAGCCTATGGTGTGCAATCATCCCAACGAGTTTTGATCATCTCCAGGTACACTAAATCTACTCTATAAATTCATAACTAATATATTTATACCCAGAGATCCAAATACATCTTGGCAGGAACAGTAACCCAGATTGTGGATATGTTTTTAAGGCATCCTCAATTCTAGGCATGCCCTGGAGTCCTGGACCAAACATAATTGGTTCTTTTATCCAATTCTTGATACCTTCTCCTGGAATTATCGTAACATTTTTATATAAATATAAGTATAGTAGTAGCAATTTAGCAATGCTGTCATTCTTTTATTTTAGAGCTACGTGAGGTAAATATTTGTGTGGGAGAGTCACACATCTGCCTAGTGGTGCTTTGGTGATACAACAATGAAAGGTCATATGTGCTCTTCTGACGTGAGAATATACTCCGGCTTGTTTGGCCATAAAAAGGAAAGTAAAACCATCATAACAATATATAAGTAATATTTATTCAATTTTTTTCCAGTCACTAAAAAAAAAGCAGTCCCTTTCTTATACCACACAATGGGAACAAAAGCAAATATATGAGCCCATCCACTTCCTTTACTTTTGAAGTTTTCATATTTGTTGGAAAAATGATTATTTACAGACATATATTTTTTGTGTGTTTACAGTGCTGTATGCGTTATTTTGTTATGGTTGGATAGTTATATATCTATCCAACTTAACATAAGAGAATCAAATTGTATTTACTTTTGGCACGCGAAGAGAGTATCAGTTAATTTTCAAAAAAAAAAAAAAAAAAAGTATCAGTCTCAGTTCACTTCAAGTTCGAATCTTTGAACGACATGCGGTTTATATCAACGGAATTCGTATATAACTATGTCTACATATGCCTCCTTTAATATTATTTCATATTTAATATATTCCCTTTTATTTTGTAAATTGTTAAACAGAAAATATTAAGTATTCTTCGTGAAGCAATATTACTATTATTCGAATCCTTTTTTGCTTTTTTGATCGTTGGATCGTCCACAAGAATCTCAGGGCATGACAAATATGCTATTTTGATTTGCTTAGTAGTACGATGTATGTTTGGTTCTTCCTCACGCGTAAAACCTAGAAACAATTTATTTTAAGTTGATGAGTTTATTTCTAACATGCTATTATGTAATTTTGTATAATTTTTTTTATCCAAAGAATTTCAGACCAGACGGTTCATAGTCCCTTCGGACTATAGACCATTGTTTTCAGTGCATACGTATTTAGTTAAACCATCGAGTATGTGATTACAATCTATATCCCATAGAACTTTACGACTTCACAACTATATGAAAGTAAGTACTTTAAAAACCCTTCATGATAAGAATATGAATAATTACTCTAAGTTTTGAAGAGACGTGCAAGAAACTAGCTCTGCTAGCTGCAAAATCTATAATTGTATTCAATTCGTCTTACAATTGAAAGTCTAAAGATAAATATTTCAGATGTACTTGACAAGAATGTACAAAGAGGGGAAAAAAGGTACAGAGAAGATAACGGGGAAAAGCGATAAAATGTGCAACTTTGTGATCATAAACGAAAAAGGAGAGAAAGAAGATAACGAAAATAGTGGGAGATCGGTGTCTTCGTGATGATTTAAAGTATAGTGTACGTAACTTTTCTTATCATACAATCTTTTTCTTCCTCAAATATAACACGTAACAGAGATGTATATAATGCATGCATTATAATTCATAAACGATGCACGTTAAAGCCATTTCAAACAAAAAAAAATATTATGCACGTAAAAGAATAGCTTCTTCTTCTTTTTTTTGAAAGTTTGCGAATGATATACTTGATAATATAAGTACACTGGATTTCTAAAAATGTCGCATGTCGCATTATTGAAAATTCTAATCTATAATCTATAATAATATATATATCAAATATAACCATTCAATTGTAGTATACGGTGGTTAGAAGAATGACTTGGCGTCAACCGTCGTAGTCGTAGATTCAAATAATGTCATGAACGAAATTGCTAATGTCTGGTTAGATGAATATGAAACCATTTTTAAGTCTCATTAGAAAACCACTTATGAAATCATCGTGTGCGTAGTCTCCCTTAGAATCTGAGTATCGGTTCAGATATTCTAGATAAAATTATCATATATTGAAATCTTATGGAATTGCTTGCTTATTATTGATTGACATACGACAATATATATACAGTGTTGCTATTTCCTAATATGATGATAGTGTATCTCGTCAATATTATTTACATATATCTCCTATGTTAATACCCTCCCTCAAGTTGGTAGTACGAAATTGCGTACACCTAATTTGGACAAAAGTTTTTCAAATGTTGGTCTTGGGAGAGCTTTAGTAAACAAGTCAGCAAGTTGTTTCTTCGTCGAGATGTATTCTGTCACAATGGTTCCTTCTTGTATCGCATCTCTAACTTGATGACAATCTACTTCAATATGTTTCGTTTGCTCATAGAAGATCGGGTTTGCAGCAATATGGATGGTGGCTTTACTGTCACAGTGTAAAGGTGTAGGTCAAGAGTTCTGAAAACCAAAAGTCGTCATGAGTGCTCGTAGCCATTTTATTTCACGCAAGGTATAAGCCATGGCTCGATATTCCGCTTCAGAAGAGGAACTTGAGACAGTCTTTTGCTTCTTAGTTTTCCAGGAGATCGGAGAGCCACCTAAGTAGATAATATATGCTGATAGAAATCGTCGTGTAAGTGGACAGGCAGCCCAGTCTAAGTCGCGGCT